AAAAAGAAACCACCCCAAAACCAGAAGCAAACAACAGATACTCGTATGGCGATAGAGGCAAAGGGGTGCCACTGCACTGCAATGCTCTGCGAACCCTGCGCATGCAAAGAGCTCTGCCGCAGCTGCCTCCTCTGCCAGCTGAAGGACTGACGCCTTTCAGTGATTAAAAACCCAGTGCCTCTATCTGCCCTATGAAGGTAATGGGAGTTGTGCCTCTAACTGCAAGGAGCTCATGGAGCTGAGTACGCTACAAAGTGTTTAGACAGGTACATATATCTATTGGCATTAGGTTTAAAAGAGAAACTTGTATATCAGGTCTTTTCAGAATTTAGCCCTTAATTTGTAAAATTTCTTTGGTATTTTTACCAGTACTGATGTTTAAGACGGTCCGTGTTTCTGTCAGGCAACCTGTTTTTCTACTCCTATGTGATATCACAGAAGACTTGGAAATTTTTCCAATAGATTTTCCTTTTCGGTGATCCCCCTGATATAGTTAAACAATTTAAATAGAAAGACATAACCATATTTCCCTATGCTTCAGAACCAGAAACAAACAAACAAACAAAAGTCATTGTACAAAGATGCTTTGTGGCCAAATGAAATCTTCAGTTCTGCTCAGCAAAACGGGGACATGTTTCATTTTTTCTGGTTCAGTACAAAAAGGCTTTACGAAGCAACATTGTTAAAACTGATGCTGTTTTCAAAAGAGTCTCAGTTCATGCCAAATTGAGTTCTCTGTGAATGACATTTTATCAAGGAGAGGAAAGCTGGATTTTGGGCTACAGCCACTGTGCTTTATCCAACTGGTACTGATCACGCATGCCTTTGTACCGAGTGAAGTGCAATCTGACATCAAAGGCCAGGATTTCATGTCCCTGCTGCCAAAAGGCCAAGTGGAGATGTGGAGGCTTCTTCGTTGTCATGCACTGATAGAGCAGCAACTTGAATTTCTGTGACATCAACAAAAGCTCACAAACCAACAGCTGAGGAGCACGTGAATACACAGTGCATACACAAAGAAAACCAGCCAGCCACAATTCCCTCTGGATGTAGAAGTCTCTCTCCCCTGAGTTTGTGACAGAGTGTGGGTAATCTCTTATACATGTGTGCAGTTCATCCTACGGCTTGGAGTAAGCTGTGGTAAACTGCACTGAAAATGGGAAAGGGTGTCATAATAACAGCCATAAACGTATGAGGTTATTCCTGCAGTACTAACTACAACTCACACCACCGAAAGGAAAAACATGATGCCAGGATAAAGCATGCACTACTTTCAAGAAAAGATCCTTCCAAATAGAAGTGGGAACTTGGAAGAATGCAGAAATGCAGTTGTGAAGCCTTCTTCGTTGGTGAAGCAGAGGGAACTAGATTATAACAATTTAGCTGTAAATTTAAGACTTAGCTCACCAGTGAATAAATATGACTATGCAACTACCAGTCTGAAACACACTGCAGCCTAGGTTGCACAGTAAGCTTCCTCTGTTGCAAACATTTCACCAGACTCATTAAGGAAACTTTTGAAATGTCTATTGTTACTTACTGCAACATTGTCATAGTTACACGAATGGTGATTTTCAATGTCAAAATCCGTGAAATTCAATAGGACTCTGTGGCTGTAGTCAACTTGGATAACCCAAGAACAATCTGTGTTGTTATTATAAGGTTGCGGGTAGTTTGGAGAATGGATTTCCCCACTGTTAGCTTGGAAAATACCACCACAGCCTGAAAAAGACATAATCACTTTTAATGACAAGCTCTTTTATGCTTAGTGAGATTACACCCCTATTTTTAAATTAAGGGACGAACACCTCCATCTTTATATGTTCTACATTAAACTGTTGTAAGATGGGTGCTCCAGCTGTTGAAGTGTCCTGTCTGCAACAACAATCAAGGGAAATGACTATCAGGAAACTATAACATTATCATTATTGATGAATATGCAACAAAAATGCTTGTGAGTAATGTTTCTTTCATAGGCCCAGGCTAGTAGTAGATGTTGTAAAGGCTGAAGCGTTAGTGCTGGTATTCCTTTCTCCTAGATATTGTAAAAGCAATCAAAAGTTCTGTTCGTACGAATGCTGCAGACTTAGCAAACTGAGAAGGCAATGACTAAGCCTTACTGATGGCCACAAGGGTGAGAAAACCATTTCTGAAAATAGCAGGACAGTTAGGAGCTCCGCTTTCCCCATGAGCAGTACAACAATTGCAAGCCTGAAGTTTCTACTTCTCTACCCATGCAGGGCTCCCTGAGGACTCCACCTTCAGGTATTTCTGACCAGAGCAGCTCCAGTGCTCACGAATATCTAAATAGCCTGGAATGATGGATCCTGTGCGGCAAGTGTCAGGGCTTTCAATAGGACTAACACAAACAAATAGACTTTTATATGTTGTAAAAGGACGGAGGAGGGAGAAAGACGCTGGGATTGCTGTAGATGGAGGCAGCTGGCTGGAAGGATAAAAACTACACTGCTATTGCGTTCTGGTGAGGGGGAATTTTAGATGCTAGAGTGAGGTTGGAGTACAACAGGCAAGATGCTATAAAGGGATGAGAAAGCTTCAGGGGGCCTAAGTAGAAAAAATAAGCTGCCAGATCTTGGAAGGGGATTAATTCAAAGGACTATTGTAGACTTCTTTTATTTTAAAAAAATCTTGTGCCTTTCTCATAAAACTTGTGAGAATGGAGAAGTATAAACCTAACAAACTAATGAATCAGTGTGCTTAATCAAGCAATACTGCAAGAATTAAAATCTGACTCTCCTCACTTTTCATCGTGATTACTTTCTGATAATTGGCCTTTTCACAAGAACTCCCATATAGGGACATGTGATTGGGTCTTTTAAGCATGTCTCTTCTATTACTGATTATCAGTAAGGCTTTGAACAAATAATCACATGGGGGATGGATCAACCTTTTAGAGTTCAAGCATTTACTAATCACTCCAAATATTTTTGGAGTTCTCCAAGTTAAGCCACATTCTCAGATATTTTACACTTTACAGCTTAAAATCAAAAGCATCATTCAGCTAATAAAGGACTCTGTGTGGGTGAGAGGGTGTGGAGAGCTGCTAGCATGTAAAAGTTCTTTTCTGATTACAGGAATGTATTGATTAATTACGTAGAGGAGAAACCCCAACAAGGTAGACTGTTACGAAATACATTAATAGGCCTAGATATCAGCTCGTCAGACGATTTTTTCCTCCATATATTTTTCAGCATCTTTTAGTGTTACCAAATCCAGTAACACCCAAATTCTCCTTCAGTTTTCAGTCCATGCTGTTTGACTACTTTAAATGCTTGCATGGCTGACCCATGTTTCTCAGACTTTCTGAATTTCTCCTGGTATTATTCAGTATACTCACCACCCGGATTTTCTTGCCAGGAGGCATTAAAACCTTTCCCTGTCACTGCTGCATCTGTCTTGAAATGGACAATGGCTGAATTGCCAGTAGTAGAGACTCGCAGTGGGTTATGTGCTGGTCTTGAAACACACAGCTGGGCTAGTCTAGGTGAGAGGAAATCAGGGCCACCATAGACCTAGAAATGGAAGAAACACTGTCAAAATTTTTCAAAGAGCTCATTTGCCACACAGAATACATGAGAACTGTTTAGCTAGGAGGAAAAAAACGTGTAAGTATTGAAAGTGAGTCGACATTTTGAAATGTAAAGTAGTTAATAAAGTTATTTTCTCTGCAGGTTTACTTGGTATTTGAACCACCTGGTGCAAGTATGAAATTCTGGATGATTTCAAAACAGCCTTGCATTAAATAAGAATTTTCTGCTTTGAGGACTTTGTCACATTCTTCTTCCTCCACCCCTCCAGGGTTAGTGCCTTGTTTCTGTGGGGATATAAAAAGAGATTTTTTTGTGTGCCTGTGCAAACAAACTGTATCTCTTTGCAGGAAATTGTGCTGATATTTTGTACTCTTTATGTTTAAAGGTACAGTTAAGACTGATTTTTCAGTTGGGGCTAGATTTCATCACTCTTTCTGATAAAACAAAACACATTGCAATTTTATTGACTTTGATGGCAGAATCAACATCCAAACTATGGAATTTTGGTCAAGTAAACTACATTTTAATAATACTTTTTGGATTCTAGGATATATATCATACATATTTCCCACAGAAGACAGGTTTTGACTTTTAATAGTAATTATTTCCTACTCAGAAGAGTGTGCCTCAGGCAGTTATAAACCAGAAAACCACCACTCTCTTAAATGTCGTCAGCAGTATTGTGTACTTTATAACGCATTTTTAAACCAACTCAAGTGAATTAGATGGCAGTGCTAAAGCCTTGTTATTCCTGTTTCTTGTTTTCTAGAAGGGATGTGGGATTTTAGTTTGCTTAGTCTTCCCTCTCAAAGCTGAAGGAAACACACATGCTCAGTGCAATTTTCAAAACCAGATACATGATTTTGGTGCCTAGTGCCTTCAATGATTGAACTTGCTTGGCTTCTTGCATGCTAATGAAATGCCAACTGATATTAAGGGTCTCCTGCGTTCCATCGGTGTGCACCTGGTAGGATAGCAGCTGCAAAAGTCAGCTTGACAGTAAATTCAAATATGAAAACTGTTAAAGAGATACACCAAATAAAGAGTATGCTATTGCCTTTCAGCAACTGAGCTAGCAATAGATAGATTCTCATTGTATCAGCATATATTTTGTACAAATCCTAAAACTAAGCTAGAGAATGGCAAGTTCTAACAACAGAATCAGGGAAGAGGAAGATAACAAATCCCATCAGGATTTTTCCACCAGTAGCATCTCAAGTCTGCTCCAATATTTTATTAGTCTGGTAAACATCACAAAGGTCAAAAAAAGCAATCCATCAATTTCTTTCAGAAAGTGGCAGTACTATAAGAACCAGCCTTCTATATGGCCCTTTTGCCTCTGGTCTCTTCTAAATGAGGAGAAACTCAGTATTTTAATAAGCTCTGCTGGATACTTTTTAATCTCAGAAGACATTTGGGTTCTGTCCAAGTTAAATATCTGAGCAAGTCTTACAAATAGCTGAGCTAGTCCCACCACCTCCAGGGCTAAGTGTAGTGCATTGCTGCATAATTAGATTGACCGTGTGCTCACTCACTGCTCACTGTGCCTGACACCCCTCTGCCGTTAGAACTTTAAGGGAAAGAACTTTTTTTTTTTAACTGGAAAAAATATTCAGTGACTTCACGGTAATGTGAGACCTCAGAAGCTGAAGCTTACATCCCCAGAAGAAACAAGGAATTTTTTTTTTTTTATAAACATCATAGTCTGTTAGATGTTCAGAAGATTGTGTTTTGGTTTAGTGGCTGATTATACCAGCTTAATAGCTTACACATTTCAATTTTGACTGAGACAGCACCTTTTGCATTCTGCAGGGAGGCTGCATGACTTGAATGGATAATGGTTCCCCTGTCCAATTGATCGTCTCAAGGCATTCAAGAGAAGTCAGAATGGATGAAATCACAGCTCAGATTAAGAATCTTTAATGAAGCAGTCACAGTCTGAGGAAGAGGCATGTTAGTCCGCTGGAAGCTCAGTATCTTCAGCAAAATCTTACTGCTTGGCTGCTTGTGAAGCCCAATGACAGCTGCATTTGTCAGAAGTCTGTTCAAAATTTGAATTTTAAAATGTGTTCGTGGTATTCTCCCTGAGTCAGAGCCACAGCATGAGATCTAGCAAGAACACATGCTCTTAATCATCTAAACCAGCCCAGAGAAGCTATGTGGCAGAGGAAACAGCAGGAGTTTCTAATATGCATCTAATACACATCATAGACCATCCTCTCACATCATCCCTGGTGATCCCTGGGGCCATCTGCACACCAAGGGCAAGGGGACCAAACCCAGCTCTGACATAAACCCTGCTGATTTCTGTAGTATTACCTCAGAAATTAACTTGGCCCAAGCCAAACACTTATAGTTGACCTGTTGGAAGAGAATTAAGGATGAGTAAAAAATATTAATGGAAATCTGAGGTTTGTGGGTCTCTTTCACACCGTTAACTGCTTGGCAACAGCCTTCTGCACAGTTTCAAAATAAAAAGCATAGTTAAAGGCATGCTTTTTACAGTTAGGAGTGTATTTTCTTTTCTCCTTTATGCCAGTTCAATTAATCAGATGCTTTCACAAGGGCTGGAACAAAAACAAGTTAGAGTGTTTCCATGACAAAAACCAATAAAATGTTACTTTTGGCTACAAAGAGGAAAACCAATAGTTACCACATGAAAAAAAGAAGAGGGAAAAGAGAATGGATGGAAAGAATTAATTCCAGGGTGTGGTTCACAAAGAGTCACAGGATGTCTGAGCTGCAAACAGATAAAAATAAAAATAAAAACATTTAGTCTGACCAGAACACCTGATCCAGAGATAAAATGATGTTGGATGGCATAGCGGGGATGCAGGACACTACCATAAAGCCCATGGTTTTAATTTGTTCTTATCATTTGCTTCTGCCCCGTTAGTTCCATTTATTGTTAACAGTCAGCATTCCAGAGTTATGAGCAACAGAAAGCTGTTTTTATGTTGTTGGTCACCCTCATGACACAGATTTTCTGGGAATAAAACTGATCCCTGTTCAGATATAACTGCCAGCAAAAGGAGAGCCTGGCTTCGACAGAGAATTAAGAATTACAGTAATCCTAGATGTTTCTTTATATTTAAATGAGAAGACTAGAGCATCTAATAAAGACTTGGAAGTGCAATAGATTGATATGGTTCCTTCCTTTTCAGCTCAGAGCTACATCTTGCTGTGGTAGAATATATTTCTAGTTTACAAAAATCTGGTCCATGTTAAAGAAAATATGTCATAATTTAACAAAGCAGGCACAGTAATTTTTCTCTATGTATGTATTTTAAATAGAAGCCATGTAAAAAAATATTTTTAACTCTTTCATTGTGTCCAAAATGATGGCTTCTATTTACATGAAACACTTCTAGAAAACATCTTTAAGAACAACTTAAGATTTCCTTCTAGATGTTTGTAAAGGGAATGGAATCTGATGGGGAAGAGAGAAAGACAAAGTGCAACAGTGTCATAAAAGAAACAAGGAGGAGGAGGATTAAAGGAGAATGTCAAACACTTGAGCTTGCAGAAGCCACGGAGAGAACTTGAGGATTTCACACAGAAAATTTTTACGTAACTATTATTACACAGTCTTGGTGAAACATATGGCAGGGTACGGACACTGACATGGAAGGGACAGCTTGTTTAGGAGGCATTGTCAAAGGAAAAGGGAGAGAGTTGCTGCATTTTACAAGAACAAATATGGTTCAGAAAAATATGCGAGAGAGCAATACTCAAGAAACTATGGTATAAAAATGAAGTTAGCAGCAAAAGTACTGTGATGGGAAAGATCTCTTAGAATTTTCCTACAATTCTCTGCCAGGTCAAAGGAGTGAGGATGTTTCTAAGCAAAAGCTAAATGCATCCAGGTGAGCAAGCTTTGTGATTACTGGGGAATTTTTATTACAAGGTAATATATTGTGGAAAAGCAACAGAAAAGAACACAATTTATTGCAACATTCCAAAGACAGTTATTTCAGAGAGTGGAGAGAGTTAATGGGACAGGAATGGACAGCAGGGTGCAGAGTTACGTTAGTACTGATTTTGATTTCAAGAAAGAAAAGAAATTTCAAAATAAATTTGCTTGAAAGAAAACAGGAAGTAGTAGAACTCACTACTCAGAGATAAGGAAAAAGTGAAACCAGGAGAAAAACCATGAGAAAAAGCAGACTTCAAAACCCAAAATATTTGTAGACAGGTTACTCTTGGGAAGATAACATGAGAGTGAAAGAAGTTTTGAACCTTAGTGATCACTGAAACACACTGTGTCAAAGGCACACCAGGAAACTCTTTTTTTGCAATACTTTTCAAACTTGTGTGTGTGTAGTTTTCAGCCTAGACATATGTAGACAACTACAGGAAAGAAGATGACAAATCAGAGCAGCTCCTGAAAATGCTTAACGACGTTCTTTTTTCTGACTGCTGAAACTAGGTCATAATTTGTTCTTTGCAGACTATATAAATCATGCTGTGAATGTGTAATTTTATGACAAAAGCAAGAAAATATGTATGTCGAAAGGTACATAGAGCTCCACCAAATGCCTGCAGTTTAGCAGGGGAAGCTGTTTGCTGCCAGCCAGAACCTTTGATCTTGCCCTAAGACAAGAACAAGTTTTCCCCAATAAGTTGATTCATGTAAGGCTCTCTGTCAGCAGATCAGAGACAGGTGTTCAGAACTGGACGAGCCAAGGTCAGGAAACAAGTAACTCAGAGGCATGCCAATTCTGAGGGCAGGATACCAGGGAAGTTCAAACAGCAAGGTGGGCATCTGTGCTGTCAAATGAGTAAGACTGAAAAGAAGTAAAGCATAGCACCTAAGTTTGAAGTGGTAAAGGAAGAAAACCCAAAACCTAAGGTGAATACCTTGCTCAGGGACACAGAGCAGCAAACTGTAGGATCCTCTTAAACAATTTGTGCCCAGCAACTCACTCGTTGGTTTTAGGCTAGCCCCACCACTAGTCAAAAAGTCGGCAAGCAAACAGTTGCCAGACATTCGTACTCTTACTGGATTGTGATAGCTCCCTGGTGACCACCTGCAGATGCAGGCATTGTCCTTACACTGTTCTAGAAATGGTCAGCCAGAGCAGACTTAGATTTGGTGGCTGTTTAATAGACCCTTCTGGGCAACAGAGGCATAACTGAAGTTTACAGGCAGATTAGCTTCAATCTAGTCATTTTAGGCACAAACAACAATGAAGCTGCAATACAATAGACTTCATCAATACCCAAACCAGCCAACACAGGTCAGCTGTCAGCTACTCACAGGCATTGATGTCAGCGATGTGACATCCAGTCATACTTGCCAATGCTACTGGTGGAGAATTCATGGTACAGCTTCTTACACCCAAATGCCACAGAAGTCCCATAGCCAATATGATACTCAAAGCACAGTGTCCATTTTGTCCAGACTTTCACTTCACTGCTAAGCTAGGGAAGCCTATTTCAGAGCCAGAAACCTGGACTTAAGTGACACATCTTTTCTACTCATACGCATGGTTAGCAATCATCTACTGGGCAACTGTATATTTAGGACCTGCTTCAGGATGTGGGTTAAGACTTTCAGGAATATTGCTGATGAGTGTGCACTAAGGACCATAGGCTGGAGAAATCAAAGCTACGAAGGTGAGAATAGGCAGCAGTGAGTATTCGTAGGTGCTGGACAGAAAGCTGTCTAGCTGTATACCAGTCACGCATAACATTACCTAGGGGAAGAGGAGAAGAAAGGCCCCGGTGGAGTGGTACAAGATCTCTTAATCAATCTTGTGGGTTTACTACAAAAACATTCAAATGTCACCCATGTATTAACATTGAAAGACCCAACAACTGTATCTCCATTAGTGATCTCAAATGTCTCTAGTGAGAATGATCTAGGAAGTCTATACTTCTAAAGAATTTCTTCCTGAAATTATTTCCTATCCTTTCTTCCTGCACTGGAAGTCTATTCAAATCTGTTAGCTGGGATTGGTCACCTGGCTGCTTCCCAACACAAGCACAAAGGTGTCATATATAACAGGACCATCCAGACTTTGTCTTAAAGGTCAGTAAACCCTTAGAGATGTCCCTTTTCTCCTTGTTCCACAACCCTAATCTGACCAGGACACTGTTGCTTCTTTTATTCTTTTTCTGAGTAAAAAGATTCTTCATAGTTTTCAGTGCTCAGTATTATAGACCTCCCCACTTCCTTGGAAGGCCCTACACAAGGTCTCACCCTTTAGTTATCTCCCCAGTGATCCATTATTTTCCTTTACATTAGGAAATTTTATCTCCATGGTACAGCATCCTACACGTAGTTCTTTGTAAAAGGCAGACTTTTTAACACCGAGTTTTTCAAAGCCGTTTTATCTCTTGTTAGGAAGTGTGCAGGGCCTAGGATCATTATTGGTTAAGGTATACAGATGCCAAAGGCCTAAAAGCAAAAAATAACAAGAGCATTGTTGCTTCTGTGACATCTGTAACCACAGCAGAAATGGAGAATTGGAGTAGAATGGTTTGTTCTGTTCCTGCAGTTCTTGGGATTATCTGGTCAGACAGAAAAGCATATAGCTTGTGTATTTTTGAGGAGTAAATCTAATCTTCTTACCTCCAAAACATCGTAGTTGCAGTTTGGGTGATATTCAATGTCGAATTCCTGAATGGTGAGTTGAATGCTGCTACCAGGTGCTGTGTGAATGTACCAGATGCATTCCCTGTTGCTTGGGTATCTGTTGGGGTAGCCAGGGCTGTGAAATGAACCAGAAGGGCCAGAGAGTTCTCCTCCACAACCTGATGACACAGCAAAGCAGCCTGTCAGTGATGGGCTCTGGAAAACTCACCGACAGCTCTGCAATGAAGACAGCATCCTTTTCATGCACAAATGTGTATACTGAGGTTGAGGGTCTGCTCTATCACAGGGAACTGAGGTCTAGCAGTGAAGAGAAACTCAGGAGCAGCAGACTGGACCTGCTCACACTGCCAGCACTGTCTGCTCAGTAAGTTCTTCACCTCTTATTTTGGCATATATCTCATCACACCTCAGCATCTGCTTTGACAGCTGAAGAAACTGAGACAGAGCAAAAAAGTGACATTTTTTGTATTGGCTTCTAACTTTGACCAGGTCTAGAAAGCTGAATCAGATCCATTCTCAGCTGTTACTGACTTCAACTAATACACAAACTAAGTTATCATGGGGAGGGCTTCCTATTGTTGTAAAAATGCCATTTCCCACTGCTTCAGAAATCATAAAATTAAAGACAATGCAATTTCCCTCAGCCCTCTGAGCATGATTACAAGCTGCCAAGTCACAGTGGATAAACTGGCTTTCTGACATTTGGTGGGTTTAATGTTCTTTTTTATTGAATTGTAACTGTGCAATTATAAGACATGCCATGTTTGAAAAGTTATTTATTTTCTTTTCAGATAAGAAATTAGTGCCCTAACCTCACTCCCCAGCCCCTTGGGTGATTAAGTTCTTGCATATTATGAGCTAGATTTATTAAAAAAGAAATAAAAGATGCAAAACGATGGATCAAAGGCAGGCCCTGATTTGACAGCACCAAGCAGCTGGACACCTGAGACTGCAGTTTTATCATTGCTTTGTGGAGATGTGGCAACTGCTGTGCTGGGTTCCTTTGCTGAGTTCCCGGGAAGACACTCTCCCTGACCCAGTCCCCAGGTGCAGGTGTCAGCAGTGTGGGAAGGTCAACAGCCCTTCCCAGTGTCAGGGCAGATTTAGGTCAGCTACATTCATGGTGAAACCTCACCTTAAGAGAAGCCAGCAGGGTGGCTGTGTATCTGACACATGCAGAAAGCAAAGGAATTGTGTGTTTGATCTGATTTTAGTTTAGTTGATCTGATTTAGGGTCTTTCAGTTCCTCACTGAAAACTTGAGTTTGGCTTTGACACAGTTGGCTCTAGGACATCTAGGGCTGCAAAATACAAATCTGTGAGAGGAAAGAGCAGCAGGTCTGAAAGGGAGTAAAGCAATAAGAAGCTATTTCAAACTAAAAAAGAGCCATCTAAGTGCAGATGTGACAAAGATGTCTTCAGCCATGCCACAGTGTAACACAGATCTCTGCTAGTCCATCGCCCAGTACTGAATGGAAAACCACCTTTTAAACAGAAGAATTCCCCCAATTGAACAATAGTTAGCTTTAACCCAGGAAAGCCTTTACATAGCTGAGGTTGACCTCACAGGTGAATTGGCATGGGCTTAGTTCTCCCTTTTTCCCCACCTTGCTGCACACCATGCTCCATAGCCCTGAGGTGGTTTGCCCTGCAGACACAAAGCTACATTGTCAAGCTACCAGATGCCTCAATCAACGAGTGAAAGAAGCTTTTAAGTGTATTTGAAACCAATCCTGCCTTCAGTCCCTCTGGAGAGACAAACATTAAAAGGTAGTGCACTTCCCCCAGGCCTGCCAGCAAAGGCGGGTCCCTGAAACTTTGAAACCCATGAACATTTTAGCAGAGAGACAGAGAGGAGAAAAGCTTCAGTGTAACCCACCACCCCAGTTTTTTCCCCCAGTGCCATCCAAAGACGGCCTAATTTTCCTCAGAAGAAACCAGATCGCTGGGTTTTTACAACTGGAGAAAAGAAAAGAAGTGTCGGCGGGGGGGTTGAGCCTTACAGCTGAATGTGCACACCGAGTTCCTCCCTTTCTTTTCCCTCAGCAGCCGGAATGACACGGTGGCTGAGGACAGACTTTAGGAAGGGAAAGCTTGAGAAACAGAAAGATTTCTCAACAAACAGACTCGATGGCTGAGCTCCTGAGGGGGTGGGAACGGGGAGGCAGGGGAGTTCCAGCAGGAGAGAACAAAGCCAATTGCTATTTATCTCCGCCTGAAGAAAGCTGGGAACATTTTAAAACTAAACAGGCAGTTATGACTCAGCTTCTCCTACTAAGAATTTCCTGATAGCCACAAAGACATGGTTTTTATTTAAACCCGAAATGGCTCAGCTGAGTAGAAAGCTTGTGTGCTGGGCTTTGAGGTACAGACCTTTCTGTCTATGCCACCCTCGCAGGTTGCATTCAGATTGCTCACGCTCGCTCTCTGGAGTGCTTTATATTTTCTCTGAGCTCAATCGATATTCTCTGGATGAGGTACGTGAAGCACATGAATAAGAACGTCAAACGGTTGTTAATGTGCCATTTCTTTTCTTCCGACTACAAATGTTCCCAGAAAAGTCTTTTTGTTAATAGAGAAGTGATTCTTCTTAAGCATTCCAGTAAAATGGAGGTAAAGTTTAGATCTCGGTGATTCATTTCTTACAATGATTGCACTGAACTCATGTTACCAATAATTTATTAATTGTTTACAAATAGATCAGAAATTGCTTGAGTTTATGCCCAAATATTCACTAATAGCTGAAAAAAGGACTCTCTGATCTTTGCAAATAGGTGAACTTCACACCTCAACTATTTTGACTGACCTGCATATGCAAGAAGTAACCTCCATATCAGAGCAGAAACATAATCTCTGAACTCTCTGGCCAGCTAGCAGAAAGGCTATATATTACATTTCTGCTCTTATATGGATGAGGTAAGAATCAGTTCTGTTGAGCTTTTTTGAAAATGTAGAAACTAGATGATTTTAACAAAATATTTACAGAAATACTTAAGAGATTAAAACAAATGTTCCTGCCTTTAAAACTCACTTGCCACATCCATAGAACACTAAAATGAGAAAAACTCAAATAACCACCGAAAAATTTTTTGAAATGCTTATAAACGTTGTATGTGAAAGATTTGCCCAGCCTTAGAACCTAAAAAGAAAAAAAAAAAAAGAAAAAGAATTGTCCAGGAATACTGTTTCAAAATGAGAAGTAAACTTTGATTCACTGACTTTGAAGCTTAAATTTCAGTTTCTGGAATGTCATAGGTCCTCACAGTCACAACCTTTTTGTCTTGAATATTTTCAAAAGCTGAATTTAGAATTTGATCCTTGAATTATTCACTATTTGTTTTCATTAGCCACAAAATTCTTGTAGCACTATCCCTTTCTTTGATTGGATCACAGATACAAACTATCAAAGAAAATTAAACTGCAAGTATTTTTTGCATTATCAGAAAAGATATCAAACAAATTACATTCATAAGAATGATGTTCAGGCTGAAAATGTAGATGTAGGTGCAGGTGCATATTTATTTACATACATATATTAATATATGTGAATATATCTATGGATTTTGCATTTAAAAGAAAGATTTTAGTAGAAACTGTAGTCCTGTTTTTTTGAAGCATGCATTTGTATGTATCATATTCTTTTCCCATTTTCTTGAGCAAGCTAAGAAATACATTTTGATTTAACCTGGAATGTAATTTCCATATGAAAGTGGCTTGCCTACTTTATTAGATATTGAAATAGGAAAACTTTAAATGATGATGTAATGTAATCATCTCAGCTAATTAAACTTCTTCCATTGTTGGCATCACCATTAAATGAATACAAACCTTCTCCCAATATTTACATTTGTCTGCAAACATCAGATTAGAGTTTGCCTCTATTCAAACAAATGGAATTTGTGCTGTTTATGGCAATAAAGTAAAAAAGATTTGGTCTTTAGGGTAAACAAAAATGCGAAAGCAGAACTTGTAAATTGCTGCATGACTTCAGCTTTCACTGAAGTAATAGTGAATAATCTGAAATTATTCTGTTTCTAAACATCTTTAAAAGTTTTTCTCAGCACACAAATAAACGGTCTTGCTGTAGATGGACAGATATACAGATAGCTGCCCTGTGGAAAAGTTTCTTGCAGCTGAACTGCATACAGCATATGGTGAGTTTGTGCAGACCTCCTTGCAGTCATTTTGGAAACTTCAGTCCTGCAGTTAAACTGAGAAAAAAACCCCAAACCAAACCAAAACAAGCAGGAGGGGAGGTACTCTTTTGGTAGTGTAAAGGTCCTGGAATTCCCTTGAAAAATGCTTAAAACAACTACCTAACCTGGTGTTGCTAGGAAATCAGACAACAAATAGAAAAGTCAGGAAACATATATTTGGTATCTTTGCTTTCCTCTGGCTAAAATCTAAGTCATTGAAGACTGTGTAAGGGATGATTTATAGATCTTTCCATATTACTGCCTGTCTGCTTAGCAGATGGTGTTCATTAACCAAAGAAGAATCCCTATTCTCATAAATAATTATAGCTCAATAGAGAAGTAGTAATCTGTGGAAACCACTACTATTTGCAAGGTTTTCATATTTATTCATGGGTATGTTTTAGCCACATGCTAGAAAAATCTCTTCCATAAAGTTAAAGTGAGCTGGCACTGTCCCTGTAAAATCAGAGTTAGGGAAATGAAAGGTTTCAGAGTTGTTGCATTTGTTGTGCTCATGGTGGAATACTTCAGTAAACGATAGCTGACTAGCTGCAAGGAGCATGTAGTATGAACATTTGCCTGTACTATGCTAATACTTGCATGAAGTATAACTTGGATTTGATTATGAAATCTTTTGCTCTCTTGAGTAGGTTTAGTTCATAGCATATTATCCAATGCAGTAAGCAGGATAATTTTTGTGATGAAGGTTTATGCAAGAGAGCAAAAATGCAAGTGAGAAACTGTTTTATTTTTTTCTTCTTTCTGATTTGTTAATCATTTCTGTAGCTTTGATTATTATAGTTTTATCAGTCTCCTGAATTCTGGTATTTTGTTCAACATGTTCCAATCTGAAGTCAGTAAGATGGGTAATAAAGACAGACTGCTGAGACCCAGAGACATAAAGGCAAATCTAGGCATTTAAACAGGAGCTGAATCCTCCAAGATACTGAATGGACACTGTTCCCATCACAGCTGCCGGTGTTCAATGTTAAAAAAAAGCCATTTTCCAGCTCTCAGACATTGATTGAACTGTTCAGTTACAACCATTTTAAGAAAATTTTGACCCTTATTCTTATATATTAGTTTGGGGAGTGGGGGGAGGTCCAGCTTCCTGAAGAAACAGAAATTAATTCATCCTCAGCATTCATAGAGAATGTGTCTATGTTTTTAATAGCCAGACTGCAATACAAAAAGCCAGCTCTGTAAATGGTGGTATCCACAACTCAGAACGACTGCTCAGGACTTCAAAAGGTCAGACCCTGTGCATCCTTAGACTTAATGTGACAGAAATACACTGAAAAGAAATAGCCATTTTTGAAAACTGAACAAATGGCAATTTGTCAAAGGCTGCAAAAGAAATCAACAACAGAGCTATGATTCAGGCTTAGGAAATTTGGGCCTCAGCTCCCTCACTGACCTGCAATGCAATTTCTCTCCAGCAGTCTTAACGGATGCCTGGCAAATGTCTGCAGAGAATGCCTTCTGCATCCTAATCTAATCTCTGTTTCTGTTATACTTCCCTGAAGAAGTAACAAACTATTTCACTTTTCACCTGAGACGTATACTGAAAACTCCAGTCTTTAGTTATTGTATGCCTTTTAATAATTTTCCTCTTCTGAAAATACAGACTCAGACTAATGAAAACTTCTCTTTTCATGAATCAAGTGGCTTTCTCCACACCCTGCCCATCAATTATTTCTTAGGGAAATCCAACAGAAAGAAGATAGTGGTGAAAGAAAAGAGCAATACAATACTTGGGGGCTACATAATTCTTTTCAATAGTGTGCTTTGCTTCTTTTTTAAATGGAGAATTAAGGTATCAAAGAAAACAGAATAGTGGGCGCAAATTTTGACTGTGCTGAGAAGACACAATTGAATTTGTAAGGGGTATTGACAATCAAGCAGCCAAATGATTAAGCTTCCAGTGAAATGCAGATGTATATATAAAGCAGTCCCCTCCTGCATGGACATTGCTTAATAAGGCAAGTGAGGAGTCTAGGACATATGTGTCTTCTCAGATAGTGACAGTTGTCACTGGTGTAATTTTGCACTGAGAAACCTTTGCCCTTTTGGCCTCCTGATTTATTTTTTTTAAGGAAAGCAATTCAGTTGGCATGCTATCTTTGCAATATCCAGACTGTTACCAAGAGTTTGTTCTTTCTCAAAGGGCCAATATATGCTGCAAAATATATTTGTCTATATTAAGCTTCCTAATAAACAGCAGAAGTGGAATGAGCACCTTGCAGATTCAAGCTTTCCTCTGGTGAATAATCCTCTTGAGGCCTTGGATGCAGAGGAAAACATTAGTGATTCAGCCAAATCAATTCTAAATCCATCCTCATCAATGAAAGTCTCTTAGATGAACAGAGTTATTTCAGAACCACAACCATTTTTACATTGAATTCTTTGCACTACAGCTTTCCATCCAAGTTAAAATTATATAGGATACTTTCAAGCATAAATAACAGCATTCTCCTATGACCAGTTACTAATTCTGTCTTTGGGAAAGCCTAAAGACTGAGTTTCCTTCAGCAACCCAGATCAGCAATGCAGCAACTGAAAAGCAGTGGCTCAGCAACCGGAAAGAACAGATGCAAATGTTTCAAATCAAGACATTTCAAATTTATGTCACGTGTGGCAGCAAGGGCTCCTCACATCACTTATCAATGAGGTAAGCTTTTGTCTTTTTTATGATCACCTCATAACTGTGAGCAAAGCTCCCGGAAAGTGTGTCTGAAGTGAACTGTATCAGGCACATGGTGGCAAATATAAGTGCTACTCTCATTTATCACCAAAGCATGTGAATGTCCTTGATATATATCTCATAGTTATGCTTCACAACTGCCAGTTAAGGAGCACATTGACAGCCTGAGAAATAGTTCACAGCAGCTTGAACTCTAGAGCACACGTTTGTCACTTGAGCAGAAGTAAAAACTCTTCTCTCAGCAATATATATAGCCTTGTTATTTTCTTGTTAGGTGAGATGTTACCAGATCCAGGTTTAGATTCTTTTAGGGATTTCCCCTCAGGTAAGACGCAATCTGAATGCTTCGCTCTGAGGTACCCAGCTCAAAGGCTGCATCTCCTGATGAGTTCCCCTAGACAAGGAGACTTTCTCCAATGAGGTTTTTTTGTGCATTTGAGAGATTTTCGGAAGGGAGAAGCAAATATAGCACCCCAACCACAGAAACATATCTAATTTTATCCAGTCGAGGGTAACGGTATATGCCCAGACCACATAGCCACCAAGGGTAAGAGGAATACCCATATTTGTGCATGACACCAATTGAAAAAAAAAAAGGAAGCTCCTACAATGAACAAAAAGACAACAACTGTGGCCAGCTCTGGAGGAACTTGCACTCATGTTACAGTCTGTCAGGAGTCACAGCTGTGATGTTCGGAGCCAGCAGTAACATTCTCTAGGAGCCAGCCGTATCTGAACCCACAGATCTTGCTCCGCTGCTTAGATACAGCCCCATGTTAACAGTCTGGGCCCTGTGCAGCGTTAGGCTGCAGTTTAGTGTCCAGGAATTAACAGTGAGGAAGTGCTGCCTGACAGAGAAGTGAATGTGTCAGCGCAGAAAGAGTGCAAGGGGGAGGGAGAGGGCTGGAGAGTCCGGCAAATGTTCAGAGGGGGACACGGAGGGAAAGCGCAAGAGTGCTTACCATGCAGGCAGATTCTGGAAAGCTCTGAGAGCTTTAGAAAAGCAAGTTAACCCAGCACCATGGCTACTGTATGGAGCTGATGTCATCTGGCTGTGCATAAAAGCCTCCACTTTTTCTTCTTTTGTGCAGTCCCAGAATGACATCACCTCGAAGCACAAGAACTGTACCTTTGTGCTGCAGCACTTCCCCTGCTGGCTCCTGCCACACATCTCACTCCTCCCACATATGTCCCTCCTTTGCCCAGAAATGCTCCTTGACCTCCGCTGAATGGAAAACACCACTGCCTCATCGAGGAGAGCCCACTGGGAGCCGGCAAACGCCAGCAGTCTGTGGTAGCACAGAGGAGCTCCTATTCAAACGATGTATAGCATGCCGTACACCTCAGCAACCCACCGTGGGGCCTCTGCAGCCGATTTCAGCTGCTTTACAATGCTGTCAAAGCTGAATGGTGTGAACTGATTAGACAGACAGGGCAACTGTGGTGATTTAATTATTTTCAAGGTTGGATCCTCTTTGATGGGATGTACAATGGCACACGATTTAATCTTGTTACAGCCCAGTATTGCTGTTAAATAAGCAGAGTGAAAAAGTTGCATCTGTAGCCTCGCTTACGAAGAAACTGCAAACATAAGTTGCAGTTGTACAGTCATTAACAGATTTGTTTATAATTGGCGTGCACGCTTGCCTATTTAATAAGGCCTCTGACAGTCCTCGTGACATGCAAGAACAAAGGAAAAAACACCCAAAGCACATCCTGGCCGGTGTTATTTCATGCAGAGAAGGGGGCTAGGGGGCAGCTGGAAGTGAACATGCTACCCGAGAAAACAAGCACCATTAAATAAAATGAGAAAGAAACCTGCACAGAAAACACAAGTCTATAGGAATGGGGCATTCTGAGGGCTGAGTGTTTCCCATTAGAAAGCCCAAGTCACCCACGGTTCCCCTGTAATATCATCTATCTCCTCTTCAGTACAGAAATTCTGCAGATGCCACTCATCCCTGTGCCTACTCCTGCAAATGAATGTGTATTTCACTAACAGCTCTCAGTCTCTGTTTAGAAGATCCTCAAAGGTGTGTATATGCAGAAACATCCACTGTTGGGGAATTATGAGGAAATGCAATGGTTTTAGAGCTGTAATGGGTTATTTCTACTTAGCTGACACAGAGTGGCATAAGCTGGGACTCATTACACATACAGGGAAGAAGGAAACATACCTTCCCGGAGGAAACCTGGCTAACTTACCATTAACATGCCACAGCATCTGGAACCCACTTCTAGCGTTCAGTCCATCAGAATAAAACACCACATGAAGGCTGGTCCCTGTAGTGCTTCCTGCCAGTGGAAGAGACTGTCCACAGAAAGTGCCTGTCAGGTTGGATTGTGCATCAGGCCCATCAAAGAGCTGAAATGAAAAAAAAAACATCCCAGTGAGTAAAAAGCAGCTTCCCAATTCTTAATGTTTCATATAGAACGTCAAAGAAAAAGCAGTAAGACTTCTTGCACTGGTCACTTTTGCTCAGCAATATGAGCTCTGGGGAGCATGGAAAGATTTGGATGAAATGGTGAGCAAATATAACTATGATATATCTTTAAACCTGGCTGCACACTGTGAACAGTAGGGAGGTTTTGCTGTTTCTGTTTTGGTGTGTATTGGGGGTTGCTGGGGAAGAAGATAAAGGGCAAATGGTAATGAACTGAAATAGAAAGAAAAAGAGGATGTCACGGTGATGATTTGACCATGTGTCTAACATGCTCAGTGTCTCCAAACCCCTTGGTGACAACTCTGTTTACGTCTTCATTTCTTTAGGACTGCACTCAGGTGATTTCAGGACTGACTGAGCTTGTGATGGAGAAACCCAAGCAGTCAGCATCACCAAGGGCCTCCCAGAGTAGTGAGGACAAACTGAAAACCAAAATCAAAGTAAACCCTCAGAAACCTGTTTTTTTATTGTTCCATGATCTTGTGCTAGTGTCCTGCTTTGGAGAAGTGAGCCATGTCTTCTGAAATTTTGTACTTAGAAACACTTCATGTTTGATCTCCTAGTCATATTCTACATGATGGTATTTTGACAGTTCGTGCTTTGGCAGATGTAGCCAGACTGAATATCTTTCTGTTTCCCAAACACAGATGAGAAATCCTCCATTCCACTCTTAAAACATCACCATTCTTAAAAAAAAAAAAAAAAAAAAAAAGAAACAATAAAATGCAAAAGGAATATTCTTGTCTTTAAATCTCGACATCTGAAGTTAGTCATGAGCTCACGTTTAAATGAAAATTAACAGATGTTTTGATGAGGTGACAGTAGATGCTTACAGCTTTTAGGCCTCTTTAGTTATCTCCAAACAGGTTTAAAGGGTCTTTCAAATTCTAGTTTTGTGACTTTTTTCAAATCCAGTAAATCACTGGATATGCATCTATGTTCCTCACCAAATATCTCAATGATTGGTGTCAATTTTCAGGGGTGAGGAATATAATTTTTGCAAAGTTGGTAAAAATGAGACATTTTAGCTAAATTGTCTTTGACTTATGATATCAGATTGCCAGTTGTTGTTAAGGTAGGAGTTGCTTTGTTATTTCTCTTTTTGTTATGATTTTTAAAGTTTAGAAAAACAGCAACCCTTGTACTTTTTTATCACTTTGTCACAGTTGATCCGATCTTCTGTCTCACAGAACACATCTTCCTAACACAACCCAGCAAATTACTGGCACAGAAACCATGTCTGAACAGTCTCATTGTGAATTTTTGGCATGCTTCCTTTCAGAATTTCCACAAAAACTTTTCTCTGTTCTGAAGCCATCACTGTAAAATTCTCTCTGTGCAAAGAATCAAACCTATGATCTCTAGAAAAACAGCCAAAGTTTATTTATCTTTGCTCTCCATTCAAATCTCTTTTCCAAATATCTCTGATTCCACTAAGAATTCTCCTACACTCAACACCCATAGCATGGAATTATGATATTACAGTAAACATTAATTAACCATGCTAGCTACTAATTTCTGTGTACGTTTTCTAGCTCACTTACATATGGGAATGAGTAATTAGACCCCCAGATTTTCTGTTCAAGATGTTGGTCTTGCAGAAGATTCAGAAATCTTGTTGTTGATTTAAGACATAGCTGGGGCCAAGAAATCTACTCAAATGGCTTCAAACCCTCAAGCAGACAGTCTAGCTTGAATGTCTTTTTTAATAAAAAAAAAATTGGATGTACTTCAGCCAGAAGTTAGGGGCAAATAGCAGGAATAATTCTATGATAATATTCCATGGCATATTTTACGGCTGGTGGCCATGAATCTTTCTGGTTTTCAATCCTCTAATACAATGAAAGGCTCAGAGCATGAGAAGTGTATCGGAACTTGAGAATTATCACTTCATTTGGTATGATTTGTCTACGTTAAACCAGAAAAGCTTGAAAGTTTCTAATTGCAGACCCATTGCTGGTAGTTCTTGCAAAGCCTTGATCAGGTGTGTTCAATAATAGATATGAAATTGTTGTAAAGATTAGATGTTAAGAGGTAAAATATCCATCTGTATTCTTTCCAAACGTAAAGCTGGAGGGACTGCCGGACAGACAGTTGCGCTGTCCCATGCCCAGCATTACAGTTATGACCTTCCTGCAAGCCAGGCTGAGAACTTTATACATTCTTTTATGCTTAAGTTCAGCAAAACAAAATAAAGTCAGATCCAATTCGACTTTTTAGCAGTACTACTTCTTTCAACAGCTTTGTGGCATACATTACTTATATTTCTGTGGCTTCAAGCCACGGAAATCTTACACCAGACAAATATGAACGGCAAAGAATGAATCAATGTGGAGATGGTGAATCTGTGCTCTGAATAGAAGCAAAAACTATGTTAAGATACATGTTAAGCAATCAGCTGTCAGCTTTAGTGAGTACAAATGAAAAACCCTTCTAAAGAACTATGGACTAAATCATACCCAGAAACTTTCAAATCCAAACAAAAAAGCAACCTTCACGAGTCTCCTGCAACTTTGATTCATCAAGGGAGTGTTATTTTTATCTAAGACAGCTAATGTCACATTTCTATGTAATTTCCCCTGAAAACACTCCCTCAGTTTTTCAAGACACAAAGAATGGTTGCTATGGCAATCCCTTCATGCCGTGCTGCCCTGTGGGTCTGTGTTCAGAGTGGAGTTTCGCAGGAAATTTGAGTGCCTGGCCAGCTGTAACTCATTGAGAGAGGCAGAACCGCGACTGCTAGAATTACAGGGGGGGGTTTCGAGCTGTCTTTCATTTCTAAATGAAGGGAACAGCTGTGTGTTTTCACAGAGCATTTTGAACTTCTCAAACCATATTTTGCTCTCACATAAATACGGGCAAGTGAAACTGAAGCTGAACGTAGATCTCATGAGCCACAATTTCTTTTCTGATCTCTGAGATAGTGTTTCTCATCCAAGGGCCTGCTTTGTCAGCTGTACTATTCTAAACTGCTGCAAATTGAGTGGAGGTTCCTCCTTGGGCTATATGAGGCAAGGTACTCTCATGAACTGTTCAAGACGATTGAATTTTGGAGTAGTTTATTAGCCACTCTGGTACCATATCGACTCTAGGAACCGAGGACTTGGCTCCATCCCAGCTCTCCATTGGGAAGAAAGCATTTGCTCCCTTCCTGTGTAGATATTTGTTTTGTAATTTATTTATTTGTTCAGACCTTTTAGCCTCCATCAGAAAAACCAAGGGCTTCATAAAGATTTTGGCAGACAATCCAACAGGCAAAATATGCAAACAGCTGCAGCACATGTTCAGATCCTTAGCCTCCCCTCTTTAACTGAAGCAATTGCCCAGCAGCACCCAGAGAGGTCCATTTCAGCAGCCTGCACCAGGCCCAGGCGGGGATGCAGTACATTCAGACGAATTATTAGTCATGGGCGCAATAACTGTTACAAGAAACTCTTTATCGGGCTGCCTAGGAGCAAGCGTATAGGCTGCCACAAAAGTAAAAATGGGAGGTGCTAGCTCTCTAAGGGATGAATCAAGTTCTGGGACTGCCCTGCAGCCAAGTGACTGCTGAAAACCATCTGCTGTACATTGGAGTGGGACTGGGGCAGCAGGACTAGCCAGGCTGCAGGAAGGGTTTGGCTTGGGTAGCTCTCCCAGGGGAAGACACCATGGTCACCAGTATTACATTTTGGCTTTTCTGACTCTTCAGCCTGGAAATATGTCGCTGACACCAGTAATGATGCTCTGGAGGCCACAGCTGTTTACCTGTCTTTGGAGGGATATTCTTCTAGCTGAGAGCCTTGTCAAGCTTATTCCTTCCTGCAAATTGAGATTGGCAGGACCCTTCCAGGCAGGTAGTGGGGCAGAAAGCTGAACTTTTTTTTAGGGAAAAATTTCAGTTTTCTCTTGGAGAACTTTATTTCTGTGGAAAGGTATATTTTTTCATTAGGAAAACAATTATAAAGGAAAACGCCCAGCCTAACCTGCTATGGAAAAAAGCCACTTACATACATTAGTTAGGCACAACACACAGTCTCAATCCAGATGATGAGTTCTAAAAAAACAAATTTGGAGTTTCATTACGAGGGAAAAATCCACCCTATGAATACTGAAAGTTCTCATTTTTATTGTATTGTAAATAATTCTATTATCAGATGTCATTAATTCATTACATAATTATAACAATAATTGTCTCAATTTGAGTCTTGAAACAAATTGTTTGCAGTCTGAAAGCCTTTTTATAGGGACCAGGAGCAAAAGCACTGGGCTATATTTGCAGAACTTGGGAAAGGAGGTTGTGCCTTGGATCAGATCAACATAGCTGCAAGTGTCCTACCCATTGTCGAAGCCTCTAGGGCATCCTCAAGAGCTATTCTGACACACACAAGTATCCCTTTCCTCTTAGAATTGGGAAACCTGATAGGGGATTCTTTTGACTGATCTAAACACTGGAGGCAGTGATTACAGGTATCTGAGCAGCTTTTCCTGAACGAGTCAGTTTTTGAACAGGAAATTCTGATGGCATAATATGTTACCAGGAAACAAAATGAAGCAAAACTAGACAATATAATCAACATCCAAGTAACAGAATGCACTCCCAAAGCGAGATCACCGTTAATTGTTAAAGCAAGAATTAATACAAATAAAACCAATTCATTTCCAAGCAAAACATTTCATTCTAGAAGAACTAGAGTGTGAGCTTAAGAACCTGCAGGTCTGTCAGCCAGAGGTAAAAACTAAAAAAAATAAAGCTCCAGGATGTGGCACATTGTGCTAGCTTAGCACCACGGCAACATAATTTTCATAGAAACAAAGGCAGTTTAAGACCTTGACCAATTTACGGTGTGGAGCTTTGTTTTCTGCAGAAACAGGAGAAAAAAACCAAGGTCATGTTTGTGCTTGCATGATAAGAAGTGTTTGCAATTGCCACTAGAAAAAG